TATCCCCTTAAAGGAATCCATTATGATTCCAAGCCTTGAGCTCTACCCCGGGCCCAGGAGTCTGGCCCTAACAGGTAAGTTGGGTATGTAGCCTAGGCCTTTGGCCGTAGGGGATAAAGTCATGGACAGCCGTCTGACGTCCCAGGGGCAACTCACCATGAAAATGGTAAAGTTGTTACTTAGTGCTCGCCATGGTTCTGGCCCGCACTCCCCTCAGCATGGCGGCGTGGGTATATCGTTCCCCATAGCGACCCCTAGAGGACGCAGTTCGAAGTTCCCTTGAAAGGGAACGTCTCAGGTTACTTATGTAACCATGGTTCCCTGAGTAGGGAACGAGACACTGTGTCCTCTAGGCTTCCTGCCATGCTTCGAACGCAAGCTTCAGACGAAGAAGTGAATGACATGTTCTCCCGGCGCCTATTTATACTATAATCGCACCGGTAGTGATGTCATGGGCTGTCGCCGGCCAACGTGTTGTTGGTGTTTTTTCAATGTATGCTTCAGACACGGGTCACGACGAGGCGTTCCCCATAGCGACCCCTAGAGGACGCAGTGTCTCGTTCCCTACTCGGAACCTTGGTTACATAAGTAACCTGAGACGTTTCTGATTATTATCAATGTTGAAAACAGTTGTGGTGCTTTATATGTTTGTGGAAACCATGATCATTTTATTTTTCAGGATTCTTTGATGAATAGAAAACTCAAAAGAACAGCATTTATTTGAAAAATAAATATTTTGTAACAAATATCTTTACTGTCACTTTTGATCAATTTAATGCATCATTATTTAATGCATGCATAATTCATTTCTTTAAAAAAAACAAAATCCTACTGACCTTGATTGGTAGTGTATTGTTATTGGACCTTTACCATTTTTATGCACTGACTGTAATGATAGTATCTTTGACTCGTTCCCGCAAACAGGTGTGAATACCTCTTTAACTTTGACAACACGTTTGAGATCCATGATGACGTTGAGATCCTGAAGCGGATGGGCATGTCTCTGGGGCTGGAGAACTGCACATGCTCTCCCGAGAACCTCAGCGTGGCCAGATCTCTGGTGCCCAAGTCTCTGGAAGCGCATGTCACCAGTGAGTATCTCATTTTATGACCTTCTTTCTGTCAGTGCTGCTTGTGGTTGACAAAATGTCCCCGAAACCCTCATCATCATCAGTTCTTATATATAATAGCTTATAAAGCTTATAAATAATTCTCATGGATCTTAAAATAACTCTTCTTGCTTTGATTTCACTGTTGCTGGAAATGCCTGATCATCTGCACTGCAGCGAATTGTAAATTACTTTCAGCGGGGAAAATAAATATTGAACACGTCACCATTATTCCCAGTAAATATATTTGTAAAGGTGCTGTTGACTTGACATTTTCACCAGATGTCGGTAACAACCCAAGTAACCCACACATACAAAGAAAACAAAACAAATAAGTTCAGAAATGAAGTTCTGTGTAATAAAATGGAATGACCCAGGGAAAAAGTATTTTTTTAGGCAGCCAATACTTGTTTAACCCTGTACAGCCTGCTCTATCATATTTGATACACACAAATTATCAACGTGCTGAAAAACCTGTTAAACACAATCTACCACATGCTTCTGCCGTCTGATGGATAATTCATATTTTTTTAGCAAGTATAAGACCTTTTATCATTACAGTATGTCCTGCAGCTCATGCTTCGTTTCTTTTTGCTGTGAAATCATAAAGTAAACATAGGAATAACTTGTATATTGTTAATAATATTTTGTTTGTTTACTGGACTGAAGCAACTTGGGTTTACTTGACTATCCATACAGCAGTTTTAGAAAATCATGTTAAAATGTGAATATCAAATGTGATGCATTAGGATGCATCTGACTCTTAATTGTCATTGTATTGCATTGCATCATATGTTTTGCCCTCACAATAAAAACTACAGAGCTTTGATCGTAAAACTGAGCATTTAAATATCTCCTTACTAAGACATATTATTGGAGACAGAATGAAAACTGATATTTATATAGTTTTATGGAAGTATCTGCTATACTGTTATAAAGACATTGATTTACAGTACAAGATGTCAGAATATTATCATATAAATATAAGCATCTGCACCAAATTGCATATTTTTGATTATTTTTTATATTTTTTTCCTCCTTGAGTATAAGCTTCATATTCTCACTGTATCATATTATATGAGCCATAAAAGCCTAAGGTATAAAATATGATAATCAATAAATAAACACATTGCCATATATAGTATTTAGTATATAGTTTTTCTAAAGGTTTAATAAACTGATCCATTAAAAAACAGAATGTTCTGATAATAAATATAGAAAAGAGTTGGTTTATATAATAAACATGCATTCTGTGCTTTTTTTTTTTTTTTTGCTTTTGCAAATCTATTTTGCACCTTCTACATCAGTCTCCGCTTTACACAGACTTCCTTCCTGTGCAAATAAAGCAACGTTGCATGTCTGTGGGGTTGCTATCTTCAAAGGGCACCTATTATGCAAAATTCACTTTTACATGTTGTTTGAACATAATTGTGTGTTGGCAGTGTGCGCAAACAACCCTACAATGATTCTTTTCTTTGAATCCCCATAAATCATAAGTAGTGTCTAAGCCAGTGGTTCTCAAAGTGTGGGGCACGCCTGCCAGGGGGGGCGCACGAGTATTGCAGGGGGGGCGCAGGCCATCAGCAGAAAAAGAAAAGAAATAAAATAGTAAACAGCCAAAGGACGTAACTTAGAATGGGTGATGGATTTGTGAAAGGGAAGAGAAAAGCCATAGATGAAGTCGCACAGACCCAGGCAGGTGCTGGTCATTCAAAAGCTAAATGCAGAAAATATGACGAGGCATATCTTGCTCTCGGCTTCACTCACTGTGTTTATACCGGACTCTACAGTTGTTGCGTCGCGTCCATAGACTGTATAAAAACAGGTCGCGTCGCAATAGCTCTACTGTACACTGGACGCGACAAAGCGACCGTTGCAAATAATTTTAACTTTGTGTCAGTACGTCATAAATAGAACAAGACATCAGTTTACTGTCTGGGATTTGGCGTGGCGCGTCGCACCGCATCCAGTGTACACAGCGTCACTGATTATAATGGGTTCTACTGTATTTTGCCGCTCGCGTCCGGTGTAGACACGGTGTTTAATGTCGTTGGTGAGGAGGAAAGCCTGTGTGTGTCCTATGCCTTAGCGGACATCATGAAACCTACTAAATAAATAAATAACAGAGAGAATAATAATAATAATAACAACAGTTATTCTCTCTATGCTATTTTTCAGTGTTTCAAGTGATGCAGGTGTTTTTTTTTTCCTGTAGGTTTTTTAAATTAAAAAAAAAACATACATTTTTCATAATGTTTAGTGAAATTATTTGGTAGTCTGAGGTGGGATGGGGATTCGGGAAAGTGGGGAGGGAGGCCGCCAGATTTTTTTATAGGTTTAAAGGGGGGCGCGACCAAAGAAGTTTGAGAACCACTGGTCTAAGCCATTCGCAGAATCCGTAAAATGTGATGTCACATTTTACAAGCCCCACCCACAATTGTTGACAGACACTGCCGTATTAGCAGAAACCCCGCCCTGAGTGAGCCGCACAAATATCCGCCATGTTTATCTTCACTCTAGAGCATTTAAAAGCAGCATTCAAGTAAGAAATGTCTTCTTATTAGTACTACAGAAATTACTCAGTCCAGAGCAGTGATTTTCTGTTTTTATTTTATTGTTTGGCTCACATTAACAGCATAGACAGTACTGTATATTGCACTGCTCTCACTTAATACACAGATCTAATATAAACATGCGATTTCTTTCCCAGCTGTTTACCTTCACCGACATAACCGACTGTTCTTGTAACTCGTGTGTTTTAACAAACTTATGTGTATTTGACAGTTTAAACTCAATAAGACGTGAAAGAGAATTTAGTTTTGTACTCGCGTGCCGTGTGACCGCCGCTTTCTGTGCGTTCGCTTCGTATGTGTGCGCTCAGAAAACCGTATTTCAGAAGTTTAAACTGATATGGCTTTAAAACGCATGATTTCAGTGCAAAAGACATGAAAAGACAATCCAAACCAAACAGATGTTTTTAGCGGAGTATCTGAGGCACCAGCTGTAAAGACACAGCTCTATTCTGGAAAAGGGGGCGGGGAGCAGCAGCTCATTTGCATTTAAAGACACAGCCCCGAAACACAGCTTGATTCTACTTCCACTCAAAATAGGCATTTTCAAAATTATATAATAAATGATCTGTGGAGTATTTTGAGCTGAAACTTATTTAGTTTTGTACTCGCGTGCCGTGTGACCGCCGCTTTCTGTGCGTTCGCTTCGTATGTGTGCGCTCAGAAAACCGTATTTCAGAAGTTTAAACTGATATGGCTTTAAAACGCATGATTTCAGTGCAAAAGACATGAAAAGACAATCCAAACCAAACAGATGTTTTTAGCGGAGTATCTGAGGCACCAGCTGTAAAGACACAGCTCTATTCTGGAAAAGGGGGCGGGGAGCAGCAGCTCATTTGCATTTAAAGAGACATGCACTAAAACGGTTTGTGCTTTTACTCAAAAGAGGCATTTTCAAAATGTTATAATAAATGATCTGTGGGGGATATTGAGCTGAAACTCCACAAACACATTCTGCGGACACCGCAGACTTATATTACATCTTGTAAAAAGGGGCCTAATATGGGTTTCTAAACAAAGCATGTGATTCTGTCCCTACAGACATGGCCACAAACTCCAACAGAACACCTCTCAGCCACACAAGGTATGTCTGTCAGCATAACATCCCCAAATATCCCGACCACTGCTTTCATTCAGGTCCCCCTTGATCTCGCATCCCCTCTCTCTGTTCACAGTCACAGCAGCACAGCCCCGTCACACGCCTCAGAGTCTCGTGGCCAGACGCCCAGCTCCTTCAATGAGGAAGAGGACGACGAAGACGACAATCCCTCCTCCCCAGAGTGATCCTGAGCTCAGCGCTGGGATGGGAATCGCGAACAGAGCCCGGGAGGAAACGCTACACAGGAAATAAGCTGCCACTCCTCTCTATATTACCATATTTTAACTTCCCTCACCATCTCTTTCCTCCTCGTTCCCAGTTTGGCACAAACGCCAGGAGTCTTTGGCTCCGGGGCAGATGGTTTACTGTATTTCTGTGGTGCTTTTTGGCTAGCGAGCCGCGGGTCGGGCCATAGAGGAGAGCGTATAAGTGAGGGTTAACACATCTTCAGTTCAACTGCCTCATGTCATCTCAGTGTACTACTCTTCTCTGTTTCCTACCCTGAGGGACGTTCAAATTCTTTCCAAAAATTTATTTATTTCGGTCATATTTGAATATGACCATATCTGTGTAGTCCAGTGGGCTAGTGCCACTATTTCTTCTCCGTGGGGATCGGAAAGCAACGTGCTGATCTTACTGTTCACCGATTGAAAGAATTTACAAAAAAAATGGAAAAATGTTCTTTCTTCATAGGTTGATTTTGTTGTATTGTATAGTTTATTCCTTGTCATTCATCGCAGTAGTTGAAGGAAAATAAAACATGGATGGTTGTATCTGCTGTTCCGGGTTCAAATAGCTGCCAGCCTGTTGTCCTCAGGCCATTTGAATGTTGCATGTTGGGAGATGTAGTCTTGTGAGTTTTTGTTTGCACTGAGTGTGGCAGATGTAAAGCAAACTGTTCTGAACCAGTCAGGTCGGCGTTTTAAACCAACTCAACCCAACAGAACTAATGAATTTTGGTTTGCAATGTAACTGTATGTACATGTATACATATATAAACATATAATTTTGGTTACCTGTGGTGTGGTGTGGTCTAGAAAAAAAAATGAAGCTTTAAAAACTCAATGCTTTAAAATGGCAATATAGTATTATTAATATTACCGGTTATTAAACGTTGTTATTCAAAAAAGTAAATAATTTTAGCAGCATTCCAAATTTTAACTTTGTAAGTAATGGGTTGTGTTCATAAGACCAATACTTAATGTGAATTTAACAGATTTTAAATATACTTGACATAATTGCATCAGGTCAGATCTTTAAACAAAATATGAAATCAATTTGTTAATGATTGTTATGCTGTTTAGAATCAAATTAGCGGTTATCTTGTTGGGCAAGAGGAAAAAAAAGAGGGAGTTAAGAGAGATTTTATAAATTAAGGAGATTATAATCATTAATGCATGCGTTTGTATGCGTTTCAAGAGTGTTGGAAAAAAACGTAGATCATTTCTAAAAATTTAAACCGTAGAAAAACCGCAAAATGAACAAACCATAGATATATTAATACATTTTAAGAGAGCTAGCATTTTCTGTTGTGGCGCAAATTTGCTATATCAGTCTTTGTTTTGTGGTTATTTTTATTTTTATTTAACGATATAACAACATATACAAAATGTACCATGAAGGCAAATATTCTGATCAGATGCCATACTGAAGCAGAATACATCTACATCAAACAAAAAGGCACAAGTTTTGTGTTTATCTCGCACTTCATTGTTTTATTATTTATAAACGCTCCGGGGCCATTCCACCGAATGGGTGCCATTTCTGTCCCTAGGTACAAACATGCATAAAAGTTTACTATAAAATACAAACATGTCCTGCACATTAATCTAACTGCAAATTTAAAATATATAATAAAAAAAATATATATAGTAAAAACTACCTAAAACACTGAAAATATAGCATTTGTACATGTCCCCAGTGTCTAACGCTACATTTTAACATTACATATAATGTTTTTGTGTACCTCCATATCCCACCAGTGCTTTAACTACATTTATTTCAAAATAAATGTATAATATTTTGGATAAAATATACATTTTAGTCGTGTCCCCAGGTTTTCACTCAGTCCTGTTACCCTAAAACTGGGGAAATTCCACAAGACACATTTTCAACATAATATTGCAACATCTGGCCAGTGCCTAACGCTACATTTTAATATGAAATATAATGTTTAAAATGCTTCCGAAATCATTTTTATTTTGCATTTTTGTGTACCTCCACATCCCATCTGTGCTTTAAATACATTTATTTCAAAATAAATATTATATTTTGGATAAAATACAAATTGTAGTTGTGTCCCCAGGTTTTCACTCAGTCCTGTTACCCTAAAACTGGGGAAATTCCACAAGACACATTTTCAACATAATATTGCAACATCTGGATCTTCTGAAGGCAATGAAATGACCGAAAGCATGTGGTCTTATTTTCTTTTCTGTATATCTGATGATATTGTTGGTGGCTGGGAGCGTCATTATAAATATACTGTCCTGTTACCTAAATGATTTCTTAGATGTTACTTGTATTTTAAAAATACAAATCTTTGGTGAATCACTATAATTTGCTGAGTATTCTCATAATATTAGCATGTACTCCATGTGACTATATTACATGCATTTGATCATTTTATCCTAAAATCTCAATCCTGTTACTTTCAGTCCTGTTACTCATATACTCATTCATCCTATACTTATATATAGTAATAGTCATCAGATTTATTAATGTAAATATAAGGCAATAGAAACATGATTTGGCCTTTTTTAGCAGTGAGGTCAGCTCAATGTTCAACACTTTCACTATATCAGTGCGGACATTAACACCTCGCATGTGTAGTCAAACCTGTATACTAATATAATGGATACTCATTCCTGTTACCCAGTTTCATTCCTGTTACTAAACAGGTTTTTTTCTTTAAAAAATAAAGTTAAACCACTATTTTTTTTTTTTTATTAAGTTTGGTCCATAATTTATCCAATTGTTTAATAAATTGCATCTTAGAAAATTGATAAGCTTGAGGTTTGAGTCACCTTTAAAATAAAAAAAAAAAATGGTTTGTGAATACTTTAGAAAAATACACCTTGTGTAGATAAATAGTGATTTTTTTTATGATAAAAATAATCTTTTTTGACCATGAAACCAACTATTTCTTTAAAATAAACACCTGCCTGAGGGGAAAACGAAGGAATTTGTTGACATATTTTTAAACATGCTTTTTAAAAGACATTAGAGTTTTGGTAACAGGACTGAGAAAAATGCATCCATCTTCCACTTAAAAATTGTGTAAAAACTTAGTTACCTAAGATGGACCAATGCATATTTTGAATAGTTAAATATGTGTATTACTAGATTCAGAAACATCTAAGAGAACTATCATTATTGTCCAGAGAACATGGTGTGTGATGATGTGAAAATAGAAACATCAAAACTTCTGGTCAAGGGTCAAATTAGAAGAACGCCACCTTATTATTTGTATATATATATATATATATATATTCCACAAGACACATTTTCAACATCATATAGCTACATCTGGATCTTCTGAAGGCAATGAAATGACCGAAAGCATGTGATCTTCTTGTCTTTTCTGTCTATTGTAACGGTGGCTGGGAGCTTCATTATAAATGTACTGTCCTGTTACCTAAATTATTTCTTAGATGTTACTTGTTTATTTTAAAAATACAAATCTTTGGTGAATCACTATAATTTGCTGAGTATTCTCATAATATTAGCATGTACTCCATGTGACTATATTACATGCATTTGATCATTTTATCCTAAAATCTCAATCCTGTTACTTTCAGTCCTGTTACTCATATACTCATTCATCCTATACTTATATATAGTAATAGTCATCAGATTTATTAATGTAAATATAAGGCTACATCCATATTAATCTAGATAAGTTTGAAAATGCATCTTTTTCTCAACATTTTGGCCTTCTATCCACACTGAGACACTGCTTTTGCTCAGAGAAAACCAATGGTTGTTCCTGCATTGTTGTTTTATATTACATTCCTGCAAGTATGACAGAAAATGTACTTGAAATTTCTATCCTGTGACAATTGCATCCATCTTCCACTTAAAAATTGTGTAAAAACTTAGTTACCTAAGATGGACCAATGCATATTTTGAATAGTTAAATATGTGTATTACTAGATTCAGTCTTTAAATATATATATATATAAATTTATATCTATTTTTAAGAGTTTTGGAAGCAAATTGCACCCATTCGGTGGTATTATCATCGTCAAATCTGCCTACATGCATTTGCAAGAGCATGTGGTTAAAAGGCTTTTGAAAGTCAAAAGACGACTTGCATAAAAGTTTTTTTTTTTTTAGCATTGCTAATCCATGTTGGTTTCAAACACCTTCAGTCTTTAAAAATATATATATATAAATTTATATATATTTTTAAGAGTTTTGGAAGCAAATTGCACCCATTCGGTGGTATTATCATCGTCAGATCTGCCTACATGCATTTGCAAGAGCATGTGGTTAAAAGGCTTTTGAAAGTCAAAAGACGACTTGCATAAAAGTTTTTTTTTTTTTAGCATTGCTAATCCATGTTGGTTTCAAACACCCACTTTTTTTTCCTTTTTAAAGATATTTTAATTTTTTTTTTTTTTTTTT